TCCTGTCTTCTCTCTCTGCAGTAAAAAAGGGAAACTACAGTTCCCATCAACCACAAGGAATTATGAATGTGGGCGGGAACACTAGGCCTGTGCATGGTGAATATGTCTGAGGGCTAATTCACACTAGAGGCAATTCAGTGCACTTTTTTTCTGCATCAAAAATGCATGCACAGTGTTTTCTATGTATTCCCCTCCCTCTTAGATTGTAAGCTCCAAGGAGCAGGACCCTCCTAACCCTCTTGTATTGAACTGTATTGTTGCTGTATTGTCTCCTGTTTATATTGTAAAGCGCTGAGCAAACTGTTGGCGCTATATAAATCCTCTATAATAATAATGTATTCCAATGGCCCTGGTTCACACTAATGCAGTCAGTTTCCGATGCAAGAAAAAAAAAGTAGAACATGCTGCATTTTTTCTGCACAGAACCAAACTGGAACATGGCAAAGTGCATGAAAACTGCGTGTGGTGTGAACTGTAAGCAAAAAACATATCTGGAATGAATCCGGAGTGCATTTTTGTAGTAGTGGGCTGAATTACATCACTGCTTCTGGAAAACAAACTACAGAATGGATGTGCTAAGACCAGTGGTTCGGGGAATAGCAGGAAAACAGGGTTTTATTGAAACCAAAGAGAATTAACGGTTTGATTTAAAAATTAATAGGTTATTATAGAGCAGCTACTGAGTGAACCAGATGATGGATGACGTATTCAGTGAAGGTAGGAAATCAGCAACAAGGACATGTAAAGAAGTCCCGAGGCACCCTCTAAAATTATGGACAGTCCCGAGGCACCCTCTAAAATTATGGACAGTCCCGAGGCATCCTTTAAGGTTATGGACAGTCCCAAGGTACCCTCTAAAATTATAGACCGTCCTTGATGCACCCTCTAAATGATGGACAGTCCTGAGGCACCCTTTAAAATTATGGACAGTCCCAAGGCACCCTCTAAAATTATGGACAGTCCCGAGGCACTCTCTAAAATTATGGACAGTCCCGAGGCACCCTTTAAAATTATGAACAGTCCTGAGGCACCCCATTCTAAAATGTAAAAAACTATTCTAATAATTTGATATAATGCAGCAACATCCACACATGTAGGCACACCCAACATTAGAAGTGATTTATTCTTCCAAAGCAAATATTTTTTGCACACTGGTAATGACTAGCATTCCATTATTTCTCTTCTCCCTCATAGTTTTTCTCCATCACTGAGCTAAAGTGACCCCAGCACTGATGGAGAGGGGCTGGGGAGGATCAAACAAGGATGCTGTGTAGGCAGCTGACATACTCCTTAACAACTGATGATGTCATTGGTTGTCAGGCACCTAGAAGGTTGTAATAGTGCACAATGAAAACCTATGGCTTTGTGCAACTAAAAGGCTTGTTCCAGCCACTGGCTTGTATACAAATTTGGGGCAATTTTTTCAACATTTTGCCAAGGCACCCCTGAAGAATCTTCAAGGCACCCCAGTCGAAAAAGGCTGGAGTTTTACCATAGATGCAGCTACAAACTTATAAACACTGCCATCTACTGGTTGAAGAATATATCTCTACTTAATACTGATGTAATTGTACAAAATTATTATTATTATTTATTATTATACAGTGTTTATATAGCGCCAAAAGGTTTGCTCAGCACTGTACATTAAAGTGGGGAACAGTACATGAGACAATACAGTAACAATACAATACACGAGGGGTTCGAGGGCCCTGCTCTTTCGAGCTTACAATCTAGGAGGGAGGGGGTAGAGGTACAGGAGGAAGTGGCTGTGGGGGATGGAGTGGAGGAGATGGAATGAGGGTGGGGTAGGCTTCCCTGAAGAGATGGGTTTTCAGGGTAAGCCTGAAGGTGAGGAGGGTAGGTGACAGTCTGATGGATTGGGGTAGGGAGTTCCAGAGGATGGGGGAAGTCCTGGAGAAGTCCTGCAGTCGGGCGTGGGAGGAGGAGACCAGGGAGCTAGAGAGTAGGAGGTCTTGTGAGGAGCAAAGGGCACGGGTAGGGTGGTATTTGGGTATCAGGTCGGTGAGGTAGTTTGGGGCAGCGTTATGAATGGCTTTGTAGGTCAGAATTAGTAATTTGAATTTAATGCGTTGGCAGAGGGGGGTGGCAGAATTGGAGCGGTTGGTGAGGTGGATGAGACTAGCCGCTGAGTTCAGGATAGACTGGAGCGCGGATAGCCTGTGTTGTGAAGGGAGTTGCAGTAGTCTAGGCGTGAGATAATAAGGGAGTGTACGAGTTGTTTAGTGGTGTCTGGGGTTAGGAACGAACGTAATCTTGGAGATGTTGCGGAGGTGGAGCCTGCATGAATTTGATAGTGATTGGACATGATGTTGGAAGGAAAGGTTTGAGTCCAGGGTGACACCTAGGACTTTGGCGTGTGGGGTGGGATTGATGGCGGCGTTGTTAGTCATGATGGAGAGGATGGGGGGGGGCACGGGCTGCTCGGAAAACTAGGAGCTCGGTTTTGGAAAGGTTTTAACTTGAGGAAATGGAGCGACATCCAGTCTGATATGTCATTTAGGAGGTGGGAGATGTGGGCAGAGAGTGAGAGAGTGAGGTGAGGCGAGGGGTGGAGAGGTAAATTTGCGTGTCATCAGCGTAGAGGTGATAGTTGAAGCCGTGGGAGTGTATCAGTTTGCCAAGGGAGGAGGTGTAGATGGAGAAAAGAAGGGGTCCGAGGACAGAGCCTTGGGGGACCCCAACAGAGAGGGGGAGAGAGGGGGAGGTGGCAGCGTTATAGGTAACGCTGAAGGAGCGTTGGGATAGGTAAGAGGAGAACCAGGAGAGAGCAGAGTCCCTGATGCCAAGGGAGTGTAGTTAGTAAGGAGGAGGGGGTGGTTCGACTGTGTCGAAGGCCGCGGAGAGGTTGAGGAGTAGGAGGACTGAGTAGAGGCCATTAGCTTTGGCGGTTAGCAGGTCGTTAGTGATTTTAAGTAGGGCGGTTTCGGTGGAGTGTAGGGGACGGAAGCCAGACTGTAGTGGATCAAGGAGGTTGTTGTCAGTGAGGTGGGCGCTTAGGCGATTGAAAATAAATGAACACTGTATTCCAACAGATAGGATGCTATCACTGCTTGGCAAATAATTATCTTTTTTCTTTTTGTTATTAATATCTTTTATTAAATTTTATTTCAAAACATAATACAACAATACAATTTATCAAAACATGAACAGTCCAACTAAACATCTTTAACCCTCAATCTATCCCTCCTTATCCCTCCCTACCCAATAATTACCCCTGTCCAGATAGTTATTTCTATTTCTTTCTTAGGGCTCATGTACACGGGGCATTTGGAAAACTCTTCTGAATGATGGAAACTGACTGCTAGAAAACGTAGGTTAAAAAATGTCAGTTTAGCTGCGTTTGCATACCGTGTTTATGCGCGTTTGCGTTTAGAAGCTTTTTAAAAGATAACCTCAGGAGACCTTCCCAAAAAATTATTTCAGACATTTTGAGAAGAATAGAGAGAGCAGAAGCAGAGAGAGCAGTATATTTTGAGATTACCTGTCTTTTCTGGTTGTATTCACTATGGATCCTATCATGAGCATAATGCAGCACTTTCTACCATTTTTTCCTTCATGCGAATCCTGGAACTGACTGCACTGGTGTACTAGGACCATTTGAATACATGGAAAACGCTTTGCATGCATTTCTGATGATGAAAAAAGGCTCTGGACAGCATCTGGAACAGTTAAAAAACCCTTCTAAAGGCAAATGCTTATAAACCCGGTTAACCGCGTTTACAAGCATTTATACGCGTTTCAAGCGCTTGGCGTTTGAAACGCCGGTAAATTCTACTTCTGAACGGAAGTTTGGTGCGTTAAAAGAAACGACTGTATACTCAACTGCCTGTAAACGACTATGTGTACATGGACTGCTGGGGCTGCTGAAAAAAAACACACAGAACAGCTCCTGAACGTCAGCTTAGGAACTGCAGTGTACATGAGCCCTTAACCTGTCTACTAATCGCAGTCAAAACCCTATATTCTCTTTTCACACTATAACTTTCCATTTATTCAGTTTAGTTCTCCAACTCTACTTCCTGGGCACCCATTATTTCAAGATATTTTTCAGATGGTCTAAAAACATACCACCTGCTCCTTTCTTTTCTAAATTTTTCCATTTTATCTTCATCTATATGGTATAACTCCTCCATCTTATTTATATACTCAATCCTCGCTATCCAATCTCTCATTGTTGGGGGGTCCTGTGCCTTCCAACATTGGGGATTAAGCCTTTTGCAGCACTAAGTAAATGGTATAATAGACTATTTTTAGATTGTTTTACTGATATCTCTGTCCTATAAAATAGGCATACCCATGGGTCTTTTTGAATAGTTATCCCCAAAATCTCCTGTATATATTAAATTATCTCTTGACAATACCCTGAATTTTTGAGCACTTCCACCAAATGTGAGTCAATGTTAACCACTAGCCTACAGGGCATTTATACCCCCTTCCTGCCCAGGCCAATTTCCAGCTTTCAGCTCTGTCACACTTTGAATTACTATTGCGTGGTCATGCAACACTGTACCCATATGAAATTTTTATCATTTTTTTGTGAAAAGATGGAGCTTTATTTTGGTGGTATTAAATAACCTCTGGGTTTTTTATTTTTTCTTAAACAAACCAAAAACCACTGAACATTTTGAAAAAAAACCAACGTTTTTGATTAGTTTTTGTTATAACATTTTGTAAATAAGTGATTTTTCTCCTTCACTGATGTGCGCTAATGAGGCTGTAGTGATGGGCACTGATAGGCTGCACTGATGGACACTTATAGGTGGCACTGATGGGCACTGATGAGGAGGCACTGGTAGATGGCACTGATGGGCATTGACAGGCATCACTGATGGGCACTGAAAGACAGCACTCATATATGGCACTGATAGGTGGCACTGATAGACGGCACTGACTGGCACTGATAGGCTGCACTGACTGCCACTGTTAGGTGGGACTGACTGGCACTGTTAGGCGGCAAAGATAGGCAGTACTGATGGGCACTGATAGGCGACACTGATGCACACTGATAGGCGGCACTGACTGGCACTGATTGGCAGCACTGATAGGTGACACTGACTGGCATTGATAGGTGGCACTGACTGGCACTGATGGGTGACACTGAAAGGCAGCCCAGATGGGCACTGATATGTGGCATTGATGTGCACTGGTAGGCACTAAAATGTGGCACTGATGGGCACTGGCAGGTGGCATGGATGAGCACTGACAGCTGGCACTGATGGACACTGACAGGTAGCACTGCTGGGGCTACACAGATCATCAGGGCACACTGATCATCAGTGCCTTGATGATCAGTGTACATGTCCCCTCCGAGGAATGCTGATTACCGGCTCTCCTCTCCTCTGTCAGCGTGACAGCTTGTGAGGAGAGAAATGCCTATAACCGGCATTTCAATGTTTACATGTGATCAGCTGTGATTGGACACAGCTGATCACATGACTGAGCCGACATCTTCGGCTCTTTCCATTGATCGGTGATCCGCCCACCTCCGATCGCCATGCTGCGCGCTCCCAGAGCCGCGCATGCGCGGTTAGAATGGGAGGACATCATGGGAAAATTATATTACACTTCCTATCTTACTGATCAAACAGGAAATAGAAGGAAGGCTCAGCAACAGGGACACAGGTGCCAATAAAACCTGAAAGAGGTTGTCAACCTTCACCGTTCTAATAAGACAGAGACACACAAATGAGGAACAAAATCCACAAAGGCTGTAAAAGCAGACATACTCATCTTTCCCATTCTTAAAGAAAAAAAAATGAAAGTTTTTGCTGGAGTTCCTTTTTATTTATGTATTTATTTATTTGTATTATTTTTAAAGAGCCAATACAAAACTCAAACCCCACTACAACCTTTTCTTGTAAGAAATGTATTTGTGTGACCCCTGTGCCTTCACCTTCAAGTGTAGGTGGAAGAATTCAAGAAATTAAGAGCTGAGTCTGGACTCTCCTTCTCCTCCAAGCTTTCATCCATGGAGTCCAGTGTTAGTAAGCAGTAGGTATTTGTGAAATAAATAACAAGCTTACCTAGACACCTTTAGGGACACAAGTATCTGTAAAAGACAAGAGTTCATCAGAGGTCAGTTATAAAGCATATTGTAAGATCCATACTATATGTCTTATGCCATGTGCTTCTCTTCAAGGGTCCAGCACACCTGAAACTCATCCTTCACAGTGGTGAGGCTCTGTGAGGTCTCCCTGCCATTGCTACCACCTCTAGCCTCCCCACGGAGTCTCACGCCTCCTGTTTTGTCTTATATGTAACACAAACTACAGGGAAAAAAAGCAGATAGAAAGACGCCCTTGCTTCATTCACATCTGAGTGTAGCGTTTTTTTAGCGTATTTTACCATGAATTTGTGCATTTTCAAACAGTATTTTTATGCATTGGCATTTTTTTAGTAGCCAATAGAGAAAAATATCATCTGTTGCTTCATTTGTTGGTAGGTTTTTCTGTTTCAACTTTTCCATCAGTTTTTATTATTATTATTATTATTATTATTATTATTAATAATTTATTATTTTAATATTATCAAATTATTAATTATTTTATTATTTATTTATTATTTTGTTAGGGTGATTATATTTATTATTATTGTTGTTGTTATTATTATTATTATTATTATTATTATAAATAAATGTTAAATAAATACAAAAGTAAATAAAAATAATCATAAATAAATGCTTTGTAATAATAAATAAATAAACAAAAACCTTAATCCCTAACCCTTCAAAAATATATTAAATTATTATCATCATTATTATTATTTATTATTAAAAAACACCGAACAGCTCCTGAACGTCAGCTTAGGAACTGCAGTGTACATGAGCCCTTAACCTGTCTACTAATCGCAGTCAAAACCCTATATTCTCTTTTCACACTATAACTTTCCATTTGTTCAGTTTAGTTCTCCAACTCTACTACCTGGACGCCCATTATTTCAAGATATTTTTCAGATGGTTTAAAAAACATACCACCTGCTCCTTTCTTTTCCAAATTTTTCCATTCTATCTTCATCTATATGGTATAACTCCTCCATCTTATTTATATACTCAATCCTTCCTATCCAATCTCTCATTGTTGAAACAGAAACTGACTCCTCTGTGGGCTGCCTTTAGGGCTCATGTACACTGCTGCTGATAAACTCACGTTTAGAAGCTGTTCAGCATTTTTCAGCAGCCCCTGAATATTCTTATGTGTCCATGTACACGTCTTCGTTTACAGTCGTTTACAGGCATTTGAGTTTACAGTCATTTTTTTTGAACGCAGAAAACTTGCGTTCAGCAGTCAATTTTATCAGCGTTTCAAATGCAAAACGCTTGTAAATGCGGAAATCAGGTTCATAAGCGTTTGCATTGAAAATTTTTTTTTAACTCTTCCAGTTCCCAATGCTGGCCAGAGCCTTTTTTCATCATGAAAAATGCATGCAAAGTGTTTTCGAGGTACTCAAATGGACAAAACACTGAACACAGGATGTTTCTTCCAAGCTTGTCACACATTGTAATGACCAATTCACACCTCAGACCTCTCCCACCCTTGGAAACAAAAAGATATGTTAATGACCATTCACACCTCAAATTCCTCATGAAGACCCCCTGCCAGGTGACCTTAATGACTCCCTCCACCAGACACCTTTCCCTCCCTTGGAAACAAAAGAAATGTTAATAAGCAACTCACACCTAGCTAATCTCAACACATACTGCTGTCTCTGCTTCTACTCTCTGTATTTCTCTGAAACAGTCTGAAATAGTTAATAATTTATCACTTTTCAGTGCATTCTGGGCAATTGGGAGGTTCTCCTGTGCTTATCTTTAAAAAACGATTCTAAACACAAAAGCGCATAAACGCGTTATGCAAACGCAGCTAAACAGACGTTTTTTAATCTGCGTTTTCCAGCAGTCAGTTTCCATCGTTCAGAAGTGTCCCGTGTACATGGAGCCTTAGATTAAACTTTCACTTATAGTGGTTTACCATAGCAAATACCAAAATTTTAACAGACATACCCATTTTTCATTTGTAGTGGCCTTTGTCCGCAATTTTCATGTTGACATCAGTTTGCTGACAATCCTTGTCTCTGTGAAGTGTGAAAAAAAAACTTGGCATCAATTCCTAATCCTCTTAATTGTAAAATCTGATATCAACATTGCACTATCTATAACAACGGTGTAGAAAGTGAACAAAGATCTCTAAAGGGTTGAGAAATGGAGTGCAGTGCTCTTATTTAATGATCTTATTTAAAATCTCTCTCTAGCCAAAATGTTTTATTTTTGGCAGATTAGAGAATAGTTAGAACCCTGTTAGATTTTTGGCACTACTGTGAAAAATTCTTCCCACGGTCTACCAGTAATGGAACTGTTGCTGGGACAGAAAGTCACTAGTAAGTGAAAAATCTCTCTAAGAATGGCCATACACTATACAATCTGATTGTACAATCTTCTTTAGATCTATCATTAACGACGTAGTGCAAGGGCCTGCCTGATTGGATAAAAATTTGCATGAAGATTGTACAATCTGGATGTATGGTGTATAGTCAGCTTAAGATGACCATATATTATGCAATAAATCTTTCAGATCTATCATCAACTATGCAGTACAAGGTCCTGTCTGACTTTCTACAAATTGAATGGATTGTGTATGTATATACTCATATTACATCACATTTGTAAATCTAAAGGTGACCATAAATTGTACAATCTCTATAAGATCCATCATCAACTATGTAATTCGAGGAGTTGCCTGATAAATACACATTACAATCTGTGCAGTCCCTATACACTCTCCTTTTTCGCACTTTTTGAAGCGTTTTTTGCGTTAAAAAAAATGCCTGGAAAGCTAAAAAAAAAAAAGTTTCCCTATGTATGTGAAATGTATATCTATGTGTATTTTTACATTGAGGTGTTGCACTTGGGGTGCGGTGTAAAAAACTGCTTGCAGCATCCTTGGGGCATGTTTGGTGAGTTAAAAAAAGCCAAAAAAATGCCTCTTCCCATTGAAATCAATGGAAAACGCCGGAAAAGTGCCTCAAAAACGCCTCTGAGGAGCGTTTTTGGTGCAGTTTTAAAGTAATGTGTCCTTTAAAAACACTCAGAAAGTGTGGTAAAAGCGCGGTAAAAAAGCGGCAGATCAGTGTGAAAGCAGGATCCTTACACATGGGCATTCAGTTTTTTTCATCAGTTCAGTCACATTTTTTCCAAGAAAAAACCGTATCAGTTCACATCCGGTTTTTTTTATCAGTTTACATCAATTTTTTTTTACATCCTTTTTCCAATGCAAAACTGGACTGTATGTCTGTTCACATCCGTTTATATCCTTTTTTGTCTGTCCCGTTTTTTTTTGTAGGAAACAAATAGGGTTTTTTCCATTAAAAAAAACGGATGTTAACGGATGCGGACATTAACATATGCAAACAGATGATCATCCCTTTACATCCGCTAGTCCATAGAAATACATGGGTGTCCGTTTTTTATCCGTAAACGGACAGATGAAAAATGGACATGCAGAACGCTCATGTGAAAGGACCCTTAGCTACGTAGTAAAAGGACAAACCTAAATAATCCAATAGCATAATACAAACCAAGCAGGCCATTGCACTACATAGTTGCGATAGATGTACATGGATTGTACACTCAGATTGTATAGTATATGGCCTGCCAAAGAGGGACACCATGGCAATAAAATCACTTTTCAGTAGTGGTGGGGAGAGGGAGATCTATCCAACTCTATCCAAAACTTAATAAAATATTTTGGCCAGATATACATGCAGTATGATATATCTACTGTACCTCTTTTTTTCCCAAGTGTTAAATAGAGTATGAGAGAGTAAGACTCTGACAAGTTTTTATTGCTTTCTGTGTCCCCATTGAATGAGATTCATCACTCTATACTTGTGACCCTTGTCACTGAGAGTGATGTGAAATCCAAAATATTAGATTTGTCCCTAGAACAAGAGGTAAGGGGAAATCGTCCAATGGGGACATCTGTCCCAGGGACAACTGTCTAAGGCTTTTTTTTTGCACTTGCATTGCCCTCTGAAGAGCAATCTATTGGGTTACTGAAAGGCAGTGAGGAGGCATTATATTACCATACCTTAAACCCCACATTCAGTTGTATGGGTTGCTTTTGGTGGGGGTACTGCCCACAAAAATCAACAGGTAGAACAGTTTTTATATTCATATTTACAACCCCCCCCCCCATCCTCCACTCACTGCCTTTGAAACCTAAGGGGGAGCTGTTGGGGACAGTACAATCAGGGCTCAACTGGGTGTTTTTACCACCCCCAACCATTGCATCTCTGGGAAATAAAGTGAAAGTAAATTTCCCCAATGATACACAGACAGCAAAATGATCTGGCAGAGGTTGGCTGCCCATACAATTTAACTATGAATTGGTGGCCCAGGTGACACGTTTTGGAAGTTATGAAAGATGTAAGTACCTGAATTTGATCTGGTGTCAGTGGGAGGAGCAGAAGCAATTCAGAGCCTGGCTTTATTTTAAAAACATGCTCATTATAACAAAATCCTACTGATTCACCCTAGGTTCCCATCTAAA